TCTTTTAAGGATGCAGGTAACGATGGATGATATGGTTTGGATCTGTGTCCCCACCAAATCTTATGTTGAATTGTAATCCCTAATGTTGGAGGGCCTGGTGGGAGGTGATTTGATCATGGAGGCAAATTTCTCATGAATGGTTTGGCACCATTCCCTTGGTACTGTCCTCACGTTAGTGACTGAGTTCTCATGAGATCTGGTCATTTAAAAGTGTGTGGCCCCTCCCTGCCCCTAGCTGCTGCTCCCACCATGTGAGATGCCTCACTCCCCTTTTGCCTTCTGTCATGATTGGAAGCTTCCTGAGGCCTCCTCAGAAGCAGAAGCTACTATGCTGCTTTTACAGTCTGCAGAACCATGAGTCAATCAAGCATCTTTTCTTTATAAACTACCCAGTCTCAGGTATTTCTTTATAACAATGTGAGAATGGACTAATATAACAGGTAAGTTTCAATTTGTAACTGGAGTGATAGGGAGAATGTCCCAGATGGCCAGCATTTGGTGGAAGACACTGGAAAAGAAGTCTAACGTGTATATCCTAGAGTTCAAGAGGCCTTAGGAGAATACTATTTTGCCTAAGGCAGATTTGCTCTTAAATTTCCTACATGATGCCTGTTTTAATATCCTGACCTCCATGATGCCTCCAGGCCACTTGCAGTAATAGTTCCAAAGTCATCTTCCTGTGTTAAACACTTACCCTGTTGACCCAATTCCTTGCTTACAGTTGACTCTAGAGTTTGCATCTCATCTACTATTTAAGCCCTCTTTTAATTCTGCTTTACTTCAGCCTTCCCTTGGGGTCGTTTTCTTTCTGTCTCCTCTCTTTAGTCCTGACTTCCATGGAAGTTACAGTAAAACAATGCAGGAAAATAAGCAGACAATGATGCTGAAGGACATGCAGGCCACTCCTACTTAACTCACAGCTGACCCAGCTCCCCTTCACTTCCAGCCTCAACCAGGGAGGGAAGGCAGCCCAGAACCACAAGAACTCAGAGAACTATAGTTGAAATGAAGCTCTTTATCCTCCGAGTCAACCTTTCTTGCATCTGTTGCACCCAGGGCTAATGAATGAACTTCAAAGCATGGCTCCTAACATCAAGTTCATCAGTGACCAGAGGTGTACTTTTGCAACCTCCCCAGGAGCTTTGTTTTGGATGTCTTCCTACCATGAGTTTGGTTACCATAGCAACAGCCAGAGAAGCTCTGCTTGGAAGAGAGATTTCTTGTATAATGAGCCTGGAAGACCTTAAGGTGAACATAGACAACTTTTGCTGTTTTAGGCCTAAAAGACCCAATTTTTTTCCTTTCCTATTAGTTACTGGTATATATTTATAGCATTTGTATCACATTAACCATAAAATGAATCTGACTTATTATTTCCTTTTAAAAATCCAGATAGTCTGATCGTATAGAGATCACTGGGTTCCTGAGTCCTGAGGCCACACTGGAATATATTATCCAAAAACTCTCAGTCTTGTCTCCTAGTTTTGTTTGCATGAAGTCATTGCTCTTCTCAAGTCCTTCTCAGGACCTGCCAAATCAAAACTCCTGAGCTGGAAGGTGGGAGCCATCCAACAATCAGTTCTTCCCCTATAAGCCACCAGAATTTTCTCCTCCTCTAGCTCATTGGGTATGGCGTTTGCACTATTTTGTCCTCTTCCTTTGGAGAATCACCCCTCCCCTGATAAATAGTTATTGATCAACCCCTGTGGTAAGAATGGTATGACTCGGTTCCTGAGACTGACCAGGCTCAGGCTCTTTCCTGGGGCTTCTGCCAGTACTATATGGGAAGGTATTCTTTTGTCTCAGAGGCTGCTAAGCTGGTAAATTCTATATCACCTATAGGATGGTGGAGAAATCGTATATTAGTCTGCCAAGGCTGCCATAACAGAATACCATAGACTGGGTGGCTATATTAGTCTGTTTTCATGCTGCTAATAAAGACATACCTGAGAGTGGGCAATTTATAAGGGAAAGAGGTTTAATTGACTCACAGTTCAGCATGGCTGGGGAGGTCTCAGGAAACTTACAATCATGGTGGAAGTGGAAGCAAACACATCCTTCTCTATGTGATGGCCAGAAGGAGAAGTGCCGAGAAAAAGGGGGAAAAGCCCCTTATGAAGCTATCAGATCTCATGAGCACTCACTCACTATCATGAGAATAGCATGAGGGTAACCGCCCCCATGATTCAATTACCTCCCACTGGGTCCCTCCACGATATGTGGGGATTATGGGAACCACAATTCAAGATGAGATTTGGGTGAGGTCACAACCAAACCATATCAGTGGCTTAAAAAAACAGACATTTACTTCTCACAGTTCTGGGGGCTGGATGTCTAAGATCAAGGTGTCAGCAAGCTTCTTTCCTCAGCTTACAGATGGGTCCACTTCTGGCTCTGCCCTCACGTGGCTTTTCCTCTGTGCTCGCACTCTTGGTGTCTCTTCTCCCTCTTAGAAGAACACCAGTCCTACTGGATTAGGGCCCCACACTTATGACTTCATTTAACCTTCATCACCTTCTTAAGGCCTTGTCTGCAAATACAGTCATATTGGGAGTTAGGGCTTCATATGAGTTTTGAGGGAACACAATTCAGACCATAATAAATTCTATGGGAGAACTGGAAAGAAAGGTGGAGACCCAGTCACATTGTTCACATCGTATCTCTGGATACAAGAAGTCAGCCCTACCCCTCGAAATATTTTATTTTCTTCAGTAATATTTCTTTTTCTCTCCACTGTACTCGCTTAAATATTTAAACACATTTACATAATGGCCATTGTTTAGTTAAAATAAGTGAAGAAATGGTGTTTGGAGGTATTAGAAACTACAAACAATACTTTATTATAAATTAAGAAGAAATATAATTTGTATAGTTCTTTGTTTATTGCACTTTATCCAAAGACATAGGCACTGTCCACATCTTAGTTATTGTGTACATATGAAGATTACCTTAAGCAGACGCTTTTGTCTTAGTACCTTCCTTAAGCACAATTTTTAAGATTCAATTGTTCTAATACTTTATACCCTATAATCAAGCAGAGATGAGAAGACCTCAGAATTCAACAAGAATCTGGGTGCTTACCTCTTCTGATACAAATATCAGAAGCTGATTCTCAAAGCTTCTACTTTTACATAGAAGTAAAAATATCCACTCCATTTCTAATCACAAATGGAAAGAACCAGAGGTGATACCCCAGCCAATCATCTACAGTTAAAGCATTAATACTGTGTTCAGAGGATACAATTCATAATATTTATGCACTCAATTGCACAGAGAGGAAAGAGACACAAAAACTAGTGAAATCATACCTCCCCATGCATGGCTTGTAAGCCAATTCATCTGTGCTATAGAATACAATGGGGTGGCAGGGGCGGGGAGCGGATCTACAATAATGTTTACACCTTATCTAAAGAAATACAGTCATATTGTATTTGTAACATAATGCCAACAAATTAATGTATTGTTTAGCCTTTATTGCATAGAAGGCCTTCCCTTTGGACATGCTACATACGGAACTCTAAACTCTAAGCTTTTTAATCACAGAAAGTGTGCTGTCATCCATCTTTGTGTCTCCTGTCCTTAATACTATGCCCAACCCAGAATCAGGGATCAAAAGATATTTTTGGTATGAAAGGGTATAAAGACACACATATGACCTTGAATGACAGTGGCAATGTGTTACAATTTATTAAAGATGTCTGCTGAGTCCAGAGTACTGCAAATATTGAACCCAGATTCTCAAAAGGCATGTGATAGAATGGGGTTACCCTTGATAAACTGTAACTAAAGTTAGAAAGATTATTTTAGAGACACCATCAGGGTAGATGTCAGAAAATCCGAGTTCCTGTCTTGCATATTCCACCAATAAAGTTTATAACATTGCACCAGTTGCTTAATCTCTGTGTCTTGAATCCTCATCAATAAAGCTCAATTAAGTTCATTCAGACATTTGTGTGAATGCTAACAATTCACTGGCAATTAATTTGAAAACAAAAATCTGTAAGGCTTCTGCAATCTAGTTGAAATCTACCTTTCCCAATGGATTTTCTAAAATTCATCAGCACCTACCAGCCTGTCCCATGTCTTATATCCTGGCTTCTGCCACACTTCCTTCTGCTGAGGTGTTCTCTCTGCTCTTTTCACCTCCCGAATTCCTGACCATTCTTTAAGACCCAGACCCACATACATCTCCTTAAAGCCTCCAGGCCCACACGCACTAGGGGATTATGTGTAGGTGTGTGAACTCCTTGAGGATGGAACACATTCAGTTCTTTTCAATGCTGCCCCTAGCAGCCTTCCCACCATACACGGAGCAAAGCAAATACTGTGGCTCTCGCCTCCCCTTGTTCCCTCAGGACCTCGCAGCCTTCAGTTCACTCAACCCAAGATCTCAAGTTTTCAAAGAAATGAAGAGATTGAAGGCTTCTGTCTCGCAAGTTAGTCACCGATGAGGCAGAAGTGTTTGGCTCCTGCTTCCTCACGTTTGTTTTGCACACACACAATGGTCTTGATACATTTAGTGGGTATTTGCAATGGCACGTGGCTGGCCCAACTGTCAGCCAACCTTCATGTTTTTCATAGCCCCCAGGAAGTCAACTCAAGAGTTCAAAGAATTGAGAAGTTAAGCCAATTTACTTAAAATAATGTTTGACTTTCTCTGTCAATATATATGTGTATTTTCTGCAAGGTTACAAAAACTGGAACATACATTAAAACAACAATTTTCAGTGGCATCTGCAGCAACTAATTCTAGAGAATTGTCTTATTCAATAGCTTTTCTTACTTATATGGAACTAAACCTTAATCTGCTTTTCAGGTATGAAATATATTCATGATTCTGTCTCAAAATGTGAAATCAAAAGTTAGTATTATAACTCCCAGCTGTCATATTAATTCATCTGGATGAATTTTGTGGTACTGAACTCTGACAATGCTCAGCGTGTCAAAGCAAACACCTGCCCCGTCCCATGCCTACCCCAAAAACAAATGAGAGGCCTTTATAGGTTGCAAGTCCTGGTCTGGTTTATTTATAAAGCAATAAATATTAGAAGCACAAACAAATTGCACGTGTGTAAACAAACTGTACAATGACTGATGAAAGATGAGGGAAGGTGGTTCGGAAGACTCCAAGAAGCATAATAGCATCATCCTGACTGGAAGGTAGATAGACAGAGAAGGCACCTTAGAAGCATTTGCGGTGGACAATGGAAGGGCCTGCCTCATCGTACTCTTGCTTGCTAATCCACATCTGCTGGAAGGTGGACAGAGAGGCCAGGATGGAGCCCCCAATCCAGACAGAGTATTTACGCTCAGGGGGAGCAATAATCTGCAGAAAGAAAACAAAAACTTCCAGTGAACTCTGAAGTTCCAAGCAAGGGAGCAAATAACATGTTGGGAGGGTTCACAGAAAAAAAATTAGATACTAATTCGCTATAATGTGGGATATGTCATACCACAAAATAATGTGGCCAATCAAGTTATATGAACTCACCTCTATTTCATCATTTCTATTATTAAAGATATATTCTATTATTAAAATGGAATTTCTCCACTTATCTAGAGTATAATTTGGCAACAAGCTAAATACATAGTGGAGGCTAGCCCAAAAGTTGGGGCTTTAAAAATGTATTCAAAGATTTTGTTGCGTGTGTGTGTGTCTTTTTTGGTCAAAGATTTATTTTTATTCACTGCTTAAAAGCATTTTGGAAGTTACCTATCTTGGGAAAAGTGCTAAGAAAATCAGAAAAAGTGGTAGAAAAAGTAATACGTAAAGTTTGTAGGAGACAGGAAACTGAGTATGAGGGGAAAAGGAATTAGGAACGTAATTCTGCTTAGAATACCAAGACTTGCCTTGGATCTCCCACTCACAAAAGTTCTTTACCTTAATCTTCATGGTGCTAGGAGCCAGGGCAGTGATTTCCTTCTGCATACGATCAGCAATACCAGGGTACATAGTGGTGCCTCCAGATAAGACATTGTTGGCATACAGGTCCTTGCGGATATCAATGTCACACTTCATGATGCTATTGTAAGTTGTTTCATGGATGCCAGCAGATTCCATACCTAGGAACAAGTCACACACACACACACACACACACATCACAGTGCATTCGGGTCAAGGTAGGGGGAAGAGAACAGGATTTCTTTGTGTGGGTGAGCTGTCACCATTTGTCTCTGAAACATATGTTGCCCTATAAGACACACTGCAGGGTGCAATGGGTGCCTCACAGTTAATCCACAATACAATGCCAAGAAAGGAGCAACTGTGCTTAGCACCTGTTTCGTGTAAACACCTCCTGAAACTATCAGATGTATGAAGATGTATTGGAAAAGGAAAAGATACACGTTTAAACTAAAATGAATGTGATTTTATGGACTTAAATCAGATCCTGACAAAGTTCCTCGTGGCAAGCATTGCTTAGGAAGGATATTTGTTGACATACCAGTGTCCAGTTATTAATATGAGTAGGAATGTTATTGCATTTAATGATGAGTAACTTGGAAAATCCAGCTACTTGGTAATGAAACTTACTGGAATAAGTCAGCTCTTGTGAAATAGCCCTTTTCCTGCAGATATGTGATATTCAGTTACTACTCTGTGTCATCCTTTATTTTGAGATGAACTCAGTGTGTCATCCTTTATATCACTAGAGCAGAACATAGGCTTTCCCTTTAAAGAGCCACCAGGACTTGAGGTTGAGCTGTGTGGGAGTCCAAACTTTGACTTCTTTTAACTCAAGAGCTTCTTGAGCCTTCTAGATTTCACTCTGGGAGACCCTAAGATTTCCAGGGAAAATCGTGCCTCTGCACCAGACCCTACAACTCACCAATGAAGGAGGGCTGGAAGAGCGTCTCAGGACAGCGGAAGCGCTCATTGCCAATAGTGATGACTTGGCCATCAGGCAGTTCATAGCTCTTCTCCAGGGAGGAGGAAGAGGCAGCTGTGGCCATCTCATTCTCAAAATCCAGGGCGACATAGCACAGCTTCTCCTTAATGTCACGGACAATTTCACGTTCAGCTGCAGAAATAAAGAGTATCACAGTCAGGCTCTGCAGCAAGAAGTCAATTGTCGGGAGGTAGGTGGATTCAGTGAGGGAGGAAGAATCCTCAGACCCACACTGTGGCAGATGAGACACACACACACTCACCAGTGGTGACAAAGGAGTAGCCACGCTCAGTGAGGATCTTCATGAGGTAGTCAGTGAGGTCCCGACCAGCCAGATCCAGACGCATGATGGCATGGGGCAGAGCGTAGCCCTCGTAGATGGGGACATTGTGAGTTACACCATCCCCAGAGTCCAGAACAATGCCTGCCCAGGGAAGCAGACAAGAACAAGGTAAATTCCTGAGGACAACACCACTGCTTTAGCCATGGCAAAGCCTGCTTCCAATCTTGGCTAAGAGATGCTAGCAATGAACATTGATCCAGATGAAATTAGATTCCTTACACACAAAGAATAAAAATGAGCATTATGGATACTAAATCTGAAGAAAACTGCAGCTCATCCTTTTAACTATTATAGTAAAAAAATTCCCGGGGACACTTTCAAATGACCATCCTTCTTATCAGCCATGAGCACATTATGTAAGCACCCAAGTGTGTTTTTCTTTGCTCCTGTTGAACTTACATGTTTCTCTCTCTTTTGACTCAGACCCCATAGGGAATGTATTCTCCTTGGGGATGCTTGCCCAGGTGATATGATGGTTTAAACACATAACAATGACTGCTGCACTCCAAGTTGCTACATTGCGCTGAGCTTTAAATAAGGGAAGGACCTAACTCCACAAGCTATCAGCTCCCACAGTAAGTGTGCTCTGAATCTAACCTCAGGGCACTATTGTTGCCTCTCTCTCTTAGCACAGACCTTGCTAGGGAATGGGAGGAAAGGAATTATCCCTTTTTCAATTGGGGGATCTGATTCACAGCAAGGTCGGTGACTTGGGAATGTGATTAGTCAGTAACTGTCCCCAGAGCCCTGCATACCTGTGGTGCGGCCAGAAGCATACAGGGATAGCACTGCCTGGATGGCCACGTACATGGCAGGGACATTGAAGGTCTCAAACATGATCTGAGTCATCTTCTCCCGGTTGGCCTTGGGGTTCAGCGGGGCCTCTGTGAGCAGGGTGGGGTGCTCCTCGGGAGCCACCCGGAGCTCGTTGTAGAAGGTGTGGTGCCAGATCTTCTCCATGTCGTCCCAGTTGGTGATGATACCGTGCTCAATGGGGTACTTCAGGGTCAGGATGCCTCGCTTGCTCTGGGCTTCATCACCTACATAGGAGTCCTTCTGACCCATACCCACCATAACTCCCTATGAGAAGGAAAAATTGAGAAAATCATGCGCTCGCCATGTCAAGAATATAATCAGTGTCTTGTCCATTTATATCTAACTGCCCAAGTCAAGGAACATATTTAAATACCAGAAATAATAAGCAATAGGATTTTATCCCAATTTAGAAGAATTATTTAAAAATCAGTCTTTTACCTTCTCCCCACTCCCCCAAAGATGTATAATTCTATTGTTGAGAATAGAACTCAGGAGAGAATGAAGCTATTTCACTGAAGCAGCAGAGCCTCACCTCACCTTAAAAATATCATATGCCTTCATTAAATTATTAAGCTCATCACCCATGTCAACTGGGATATAGATGACTGCATTTTGGAATGACTGAATTAATGACACATTGTATTTCTCCTAAGAAAAAGATTTTGACATTCAAGTGAACACATAATGATGGGCTGCTATGCCATCCTCACTCCAACAGTGAAATTCAGCCTGTCCAGAGCTGTCCTGGAGTCATTCGCCAGCTCCGAGAACTAAGCTCTCCTTGGCAGCCTGTCTGGCCAGGCATGTGACAAACCCAGAGAGCATGGCATTTCTTTTAATAAACGAGGTGGTATGTCGCTATCACCATGGCACTTGCTGCCTCTGTCATGCCTGGCTTCTAAAAATGCAGCAACCAGGAGGGAGATAGATTACACCTTTGGGGAACCCTGTAAACTGGCTGCGAACAGGAGAGAGGAATGTGGATTGGGTCCTGGTCGGTTGGGAGAGGTTATATTGTTAGAAGTTTTAAACAGGACTGAAAAGAGAGGACAAGGAAGAAAATGAAGTGTATAAGGCAGAGGAGACACTAAGGACTCAAAGTCCAAAAGGCCGTAAGTGGAGAGAAACTGGTGGCCTTCACACCCGGGAGTGCCACCCTTTGAGAGGCCTGCCACTCAGGTGTACATTTCTCAGTATGTTGGGGTTTGGGGGGGGGGGTATTGCTTGCCTTGGCTTGGATTTGAAGTGGATCCGCCTTTTCTAAATTGGGCCTAAAGAGTTCATCGAACAAGAGGGTCAGGTGAGAGCCATTTCCTAGATCGCTGGACTGAAGGGGTCACGAGTGGGACTGGGGGCTCCGCGGGAAGTTTACCTGGTGCCGCGGGCGGCCCACGATGGACGGGAAGACAGCGCGGGGCGCGTCATCGCCCGCAAAGCCGGCCTTCACCAGCCCAGAGCCGTTGTCGCACACCAGGGCGGTGGTCTCCTCGTCGTCACACATCTTGGCACAGCTTCAGGGGGTTCTGCAGGTTGAGGAGGAGGGGCGGACCACGCTCAGCTGCCTGTGCAGCTGGCCTTCTCCGCACCCAGAGCAGGGGACAGAGTAGAAGGGGGGTTGTGGGGACTGGACAGGGGGTTGGGCGGGGAACACTCCTGCCACCTCCCTTCCCCTCGAGTCAAAAAAGGGAGGGAAGAAACCGCGGAAGAGACTGGGGACAGAGAAGGCCAGAGGAATCCACCCAGGCTCCCTGGCCAGGAGTTCCACCTAGGGTGCCAGGTGCAAGGAGGGACCCATGAAACCCAGCCCCTTAGTCCTCCCCAGCCCCTTAGTCCTCCCCAGCCCCTTAGTCCTCCCCAGCCCCTTAGTCCTCCCCAGCCCCTTAGTCCTCCCCAGCCCCTTAGTCCTCCCCAGCCCTTTAACTTTCTTCCTTTTCACCAACTGGGAGCACGATCTCCAGCCCTGTCCGTATCGCCATGCCTGTGCCCCAGATGGAGGGGAAAGCACGACCCTTGGGGAGCCACAAAATTCCCCTTCTTAGAGCCCCTGCGAGGTCCTGCGAGGACCGACGCCCAGGACAAAATAAGCTAGAACCAAATAAAAAAGTGTGGGCTTAAAAAAAAAAAAAAGGCAGTCGTAGAGCGGCAGGAGCCGGGGCGCTGGCTGAGGGCCGGCCGGGCGGGCCAGGTGGCGGCGCGGGGCTGGAGTCCGGCGCGGCCCGCGGACCTGGCGAGAAGTGAGCGCGCAAGGCCGGGCGCTGACTCACCGTCGACGGGTCGGCTCGGCTCGGCTCGGCTCGGCTCGGGCGGCGGCGGGCTCTGGGTGGCTGGCTCCAGGAGGGCCGCTTTATAGAACGCTGATGGACAGGGTCAGTTGGAGCAGCCGGGGGCAGGAGTGGGGGGCCCGGTCTGCCACCTTGCCTTATTTGGTCCCCTTCGCACCCGCTAGGACTGCCGAGGCCATTCATGGAGCCAAGGGCAGGGGAGAGGATCAGCCAGGGGGCCCCCAGACCATGTAAGGAAGGGGAGGGGGCAGCCAGGGGGATGGCCAAATAGGGAGCTGGGGAGGGGCAGGCGATGAAGGGTAGGGGGCAGGGGAAGACTGAGTGACGCCAGCCCACCCCTCCCCCTTTCTGGGGTGGGGGTGCTCCCTGGATGGGCTGTGGATTCGGTCCTCCGCAGCCCGGCCAGCCTTGGGGACAATAAGCCACATGCAGTGGGAAGGCTTGGCGCCCTGCCCTCTGCTGAGGGGTCCTGACAGCTGGGCCAGGGCAGCAGGGGAGCAACAGCGGCTTCTCATCTTCCAGGGCTGCCAGGAGCACAAAGGACACCACAGCAGCACATCTGAGTGGCTGCAAAAGGGGCACCCGGGACAGGGCACCCTTCTCGTCTATTCCCCACCAGCCTGGATGGCTTTACTCAGAGAGCTAGGGCTGGGCTCATCTAGGTCAGAAAGCTGAGATTAACCAAGGCCACCCCAGTTCCGGCCCATGCATGGATCAGGGTCTGGCCAGGCAAGAGGCAGAAAAGGGTCTCTGTGAGAGCTTGACCAAGTCTTCCTGGAGAAGGGCAGGTTTACCCTAGCCCAATTATTGGGTAGCCCTCATCCATGCTGCGGGAGTCTTGCTCAAATTCAGACTCTGGTCTTCAGGTCAGAAAAGGATCCCCTGCTGCCAAAGTGAATAAAGGAACAAATGCCAAAAATAGCTTGCTCACCTGATGGTGGGGAGATGAGCATCTTTCAACTGGGGGCAGAGGCCTTCATTCCAGGTGGAGACAAGACTGAAAAGGCAAATACTTTGATGGAGAACATAGCAGCAACTGAAACTGAGAATACACCAATCCTTGCCACTCAAAGTGCAGCCTGTGGACAAGCAGTATTGTCATAACCCGGAAATGAGCTAGAAATGCAGTCTCAAGCGCCATCCCAATCCGCTTTTCAGCAAGATCCTCATTTGCTTGGTGTGTACATTAAAGTGTGAGAAGCATTGGCGTAAATGACAGATATCAACTCCTCTGTGGAAAACAGATTCTGCAGGATCTTGAAGTTTTGAGAAGGAAAAAGAAAAATGGCATGAAATAAGGAGAGGGGGAAGGAAGAGGGAGATGTAAGAAGGACACAGATCACTAGTTTGCCCTGGGGTGCCCTGCATTCTCAGTTCTTGACTGGCGCTTTGATTTTTAATGCTTGTGTTTTTCCTCCAGTTCACACCAGTTAAAAATAGAAAACTGGGCACTGGCATCTCTCTCTAGAGTGGTCTTGGGTTGATATGCTGAGGAGGCCTGCTGATTAGATACTTGTCCCGACTGGGGAATGCTGGGCCCTCCCCTCTGAACTCCCCAACCATGTTTGGGTTGGTCTGGAGACGAAACGGGAGGGCAGCTGTGTGGTGGGGCTGGGTAAGAGGCCTGGCTGAGATTACTCCGTGCAGCACAGCAGGCATTTTACAGTAAAAATGTTTATCGACAGGATGCCAAGAGTAGAACTGCCTCCTCTCGTGAAAATATAGACAAACCAAGGAAAAGGAGAAATGGGACTGGTGTCAGTCAGACAGACCTGGGCTCAAATGCTGCCTCTATCACTTACTACTTACTATCTGTTTGGTCTTGAGCAAGACACTTAACCTTCCCAAGCCCCAAGTTTTCCCTCTCAAAAGCGATACCCTAACACTTCCTGCAGAGGTGATTGTGTATTGTAATAATTAGAAACAAATGCTGTATGTGAGATGGAAGACACAAAGCAAATTGTATGCGTAATAATGATACTTTTGGAGGCAGTAGTAGCTCTGCCTTTTAAAGAATCAGGTTGATTTCATTCTTCATTGACTCAGCAAATCTTTGCAGGACGAGAACTGTACTAGTTAAGGATTCAGTGATAAATAAAACAGAACAGGACTCATCCTCCGTGGCAATTACAGCAAAGTCAGACAGCTAAGGCACAAACTGGGAAGGAAAAAGAGGTATCAGCAGGATAGTCACAAAAAGGGAAGGGGAGTCTGAAAGAGTTTCCAAGAAAGGCTTCCTGAGGAATGTTGTTCGTTTTTAAAAGTAGAGCAGAACTGAAGTTTATAAACATTTGTGTGAGAAAAAGTTTCTACGTGGGAACGGCTGATGAGAGAGTCCCACTTTCACTGCTATAGGTGCAAGCACTCTCAGGAATGGAAAACGATGGTTATTGCCCTCAGTCCTTCACACAGGCTTCCGGGGCCTAGGAGGCCACTTCCAGCTCCCTCATCTCAGGCCCACTGGCTCTAGTGGGAGGCGGGTAGAACAGTGGAGGACTCACAGCAGTTTTGTGGAACAATATTCACCCTTACAATGTTTGAAAAATATATTTCCCATTCCACTCATTTTCACCGCTTAACACTCAAAACACTGTATTTTCATATGTATTATGTGTGTGGCAAGAAAGAATGCTTATTTGATATTTACTATTTGTATTACTGCTCGATTTCCACATTTTATTTTATTTTTATGTATTTGTGTGTTTGCTTCAGACAGCGTCTCCCTCTGTTACCCAGGTATAATCAGGTATAATCAGGTGCAGTGGTATAATCAGGACTCACTGCAGCCTCGACCTCCCAGGCTCAGGTGATCCTCCCACCTTAGCTGATCCTCCCACCTCAGCCTCCCAAACAGCTGGGACTACAGGTACACGCCAACACACCCAACTAATTTTTGTATTTGTTGAAGTGACGGGGTTTCACTGTGTTGCCTAGACTGGTCTCAAGCTCCTGGGCTCAAGTGATCTGCCAGCCTCAGTTTCCCAAAGTGCTGGGATTACAGGCATGAGCCACCAAGCCCGGCCTTGAGTTCCACATTTTAAAAACTCTGAACCTTATTTTATATATTTTAAAATGTAAAGCAACAGGAAAGTAAGATTTCGTGACTGACTTTTATTTAAACAACCTTTTATGGATCCACTTAATTTGAAAATTGAGATTGGCTTTTTAAGCATATAAAAATGACATCTCAAAACCAAAAAAAATTACAAAACAAAGAAAAAAAAAGTGACATCTCCTCTTTGGTGCATTCTAGATTTTTTTTTTATTATGGTAAAATATGCATAATATCACATTTACTCTCTTAACCATTTAGAAATACACAGTTCAAAAGTGCTCAGTGCATTCACATCAGTCCCAATGTTATTTTTTTTATTGCTAATTGTGACTAAACTGTGCTTCCTGCAGTTTGAGAAAGACTGGTTTCTATCCTGTGAGTTGGGGAACCACTGAGCCTTTTTTGTCCCAGGTCACACAGGTGAGCAAATGGTAGAGTGACAATTCAAACTCAGGCACCTGGCTTTAAGCCCTGTTCCCAACCACCACCAAAACTACCTTCACGTACACTTGGTCTGCTATTTCTCAGAATGTGATGCTAAAACTGCCTCCAGCCAAATTACCTAGACCGCCTAATAGAAATTCCGATTCCTGGGTTCCACCCTGGAAGATTGAATCTGCATTTTCAATGAGCCCTAACCCTTTTCCCCCAGGTACGTTTCTCTGCAGAGTGAAAAACTTAGCCGCACTGCTCGGCTGTTCTCTCCCAAGCCCACAGAGCTTTGCTGGATGCTGCGCAAGCTGCCAGTGCTGGCTGGAGGCCAGGTTGGCTGACCTTGTAGATCCCAGTGGGATGGCAGAGCTGGGGCGGGTCCCCAGGGCTTTCGAGGGCCAGCGAGGCCCTTCTCGGCATGGACTGGCCATGAGGGAGACGTGCAGGGCAAACCGAAGGAACAGAAGGTGGGACAGTTCCCACTGCCCTTGCCTCGGGGGAAGTCTGTTTCATCCACCATCTGCTGGGATCTGGAAGGGAGCGGCCCGGCCTCCTCCCCGGCACTAGGGGATTAGCAGTCACTTATCTCAGCTGTTCCTCCATTCGGAGGTGTCACAGTATTTACAGAGAAGCCAGAAACAGACAGAGCCACACTTAATTCCTGCCCATGAGCCCTCCCCATCCCCTCCCCTCCCTCCTGCAGTCTGTGTGCCAGAGGGAGGGAGAGCCTCGGTTTAGATCAGATCGGGGGGAG